AGGAGGACGGCGAGCTGATCGACTGCGACGACGTCCCCGCAGAGCTGAGCTCCGGCACCGCTGAGGAGAAGGAGAAGTACAGGCCCTAGGTGCTCGCCAAGTGCGTGTGCACCCCAGGCACGGAATGTAAATCAGTGATCGCGAATGCGGGCGTGGCCTCGGTTGCCTCGACGATCTTCGTGAGGGTAGCTTTGGGGACGCTCTTGGAGCGCTTTGGCCCAGTGAACGTTCAGTGTGGCTTAATGTCCTTCGGGGCTTTCTGGGTGGCCATGGCAGCCGCGATTACAGCTCCGTGGAACTACACGCTGATTCGCTTCTTCATTGGTTGCGCTGGAGCCACATTCGTGACCAATCAGTTCTGGTGCTCGCTGATGTTTGCGCCCAACGTTGTCGGCACGGCCAACGCCACCGCGGCCGGTTGGGGCAACCTTGGAGGCGGCGTGACCCAGATTTTCATGATGTCGGTACTTTTCAATCCTATGGTGGCATCCGGGATGGAGCCAAATGTCGCTTGGCGTGTCTCCATGGTGGTGCCGGCGGTCATGTTCGTGATTTGTGCCATCTGCATGAAGCTCATGTGCTGGGATATGCCTACGGCGCGCAACTATGATCCGGCCGTGACCGGAAAGACGCAAAAGCCTTCGATGTGGGACTATGTCGAGGTGCTGCGCGACGTTCGTGTCGTGGTCATGATCTTCCAATATTCCGCATGTTTCGGCACAGAACTTGCGATGAACAATCAGTTGGCTACGCATTTTCGGACATACTTCCAGATGGATGCAGGTGGATGGGGGTTCTTTTTGGGTATTTTTTTGTTTCTCTTGTGTTTATTTGTTCTCCAGCCAGTCAGTCGGTCAGTCGATCCGCGAGCCCGCCGGGCAGTCAGTCAGTCAGTCAGTCGGCCAGTGCCAGTCAGTCGGTCAGTCGTCCGTCGATCCGCGAGCCCACCAGTCAGTCAGTCAGTCGGTGCGTCGGTCGGTACGCGAGCATGCCGGTCTGTCAGTGAGTCCGGCGGTCGGTCGGTTGGTCCATGCGCCAAGCGCCGGGCAGTCAGTCAGTCGGACAGTCGGTCCGCCAGTGTTTGAGATCTATGATGAACCAATATCGCCAAATGAGGGGGCGTGTTTAAGATATAGGATGAACCGGAATCGCCAAATGACGGGGCGTGTTTAACATCGGTGATGAACCTTTATCGCCAACTGAGGTGGTGCGTTTAAGATGGGTGAGGAACCGTTATCGGCAAACGAGGGGGCGTGTTCAAGATATATGATTCTATGATGAACCGGAAACACCAAATAAGGGGGCGCGTGTTTAAGATGTGTGGTGAACCGGACTCGCCACATGAGGGCGCGTGTCTAAAACATATGGTGAGCCGGAATTGTCAAATCGGGGGTGTGTTCAGCATGTATGATGAACCGGCATCGCCAAATGAGGGGTGCGTTTAAGATATATGAAGAACCGTTATCGCCAAAGGGTTGGGGGGGGTTCAGGATATAAATAAGCAAATAAATATAAACAAATAAATAAATAAATAAATAGATAAATACATATATATATATATATACATATATATATATATATATTATAAACCGGAAACGCCAAATTATGGGGGCGTGTTCAATATACATGATGAACCGGACTCACCAAATGAGGGGGCGGCGTGTTTAAGATATACGGCGAACCAGAACCGCCACATGAGGGGGCGTATTTAAGATAGATGGTGAGCCGGAATTCGCCGAATGAGGGGTGTGTTTAACATTCTGCATGACGAGCCGGAATCGCCAAACGATAGGCATGCTTCATATAGGATAAGCCGGAATCACCAAATGAGGCGGCATGTTTAACATGTATGGGGAGCCGGAATCGCCAAAAGAGGGTGGCGTGCGTATAATATATGGTGAACCGGAATCGCCAAATGAGGGGGCGTGCATTCAAGATATATGACAAATAAAGGGTCGGCATGTTCAAGATATGTGGTGAACCGGACTCACTAAATGAGGACGCGTGTCTAAGATAGAATTATAGTGAGCCGGAATCGCCAAATTGAGTGGGCGTGCTTAACATTACATATGGGATGAACCGTTATCGCCAAATGAGGGGACGTGTTTAAGATATGTGATGAACCGTTATGGCCGAATGAGGAGGCGTGTTCAAGATATATGATGAACCGGAATCACCAAATGAGGGGACGGTGTGTTTAAGGTATATGGCGAACCGGAACCGCCGCATGAGGGATGGGGCCAGTTTAAGATAGATTGTGAGCCGGAATCGCCAAATGAGGGGCGTGTTTAACATAGTGTATGATGAGCCGGAATCACCAAACGAGGGGCATGTGTAATATATAGGGTAAACCATGATAAACCGGAATCGCCAAATGAGGCGGCATGCTTAACATGTATAGTCGCCAAAAGAGAGTGCCACATGAGGAGGCGTGTTCAAGATATATGACGAACCTAAGACATGTGGTGAACCGGACTGACTAAATGAGGGCGCATGTCGAAGAGAACTATAGGGAGATGGAATCGCCAAATGAGGGGGCGTGTGCAACATGTATGAGGAGCCGGAATCGACAAATGAGGGGTCTGTTTAACATGTAAAAGGGGGGGTCGTGTTCAGATATCAAGCGAGGCCGGAGGGGGCGTGTTTAAGATATGTGAAGAACCGTTATCGCCAAACGAGGGCGGGTACCGTCAAAATTCCTGTTTCGCCATGTGCGATTTCAAGTCAAGCACATTACTCGTATGAGGCCTTGCAAAGCCGGCTTTGGAGGCCCAACTTGACCAGTTTCTTTTTGGACCGCGCAAGCTTGCAAAAAGAACATCGTGCCATCAGGAACGAAAAGCCACAAAGCCGAGACGCCCAGACGCTGAACTGGCACGTATAGGCAATTGGGTAGACTGGCGGGCCCGGCGTTCGGCCCGTCGGATTTACAGACTGAGTGACCGATCGATAACCGAAGACCAGTAGGCCGAAAACCAACAAAATTCACGAGAAATGGCCTCAAATGCAACCTCAGTTGTCGCCACCCGTGTGACTCCGGCAAGATTTGTATATGGGTCGAACCGAACACAAAAAATAACCAGAAGAAAACCAACAAATACCCAAATAGACCTGGACCCGATGCAGGTGATGCCAGCGCCCTGGCGGGTGCCTTCGGTTTGATGAACCTTTTCGCAAGATCTCTNNATTTGGGCTCAGTTCCTGGCACTCTTTTTCGAAGCTATCTTCCTATTCAGCTTCGGAAACGTGGACAACTCCCAGCCTTGGTATGTGGCCTTGGCAGTCTTGGTCTGCTTCTCGCTCTTTGTGCAGATGGCTGAGGGCACCTCCTACGGCATCGTGCCTTTTATGAATCGGAAGCAGCTCGCAGTGGTGTCCGCGCTGGTGGGTGCCGGTGGAAACCTCGGGGCAGTGATTGCAGGCTTCTGCTTTTACAAGCCGATCCAGGATGCCTTGCTGCCTTTCCAGGTCCATGCGGGCTATGTCATGTTTTGGGCGCTGCTGAGCCCCTGCTACTACTGGTCCGAGATGGGTGGGATGTTCCACGGACCGGCACAGAGCTCCGACAAAGGCAAGACCGAAAGCAACGAGTACCAGTCTCACACGGAGTCTGAGGCCACCATCTGAGGCCACCATTAACAGCTGCATGTGAAATTTAGCCTCGTTCAGAGAAGAGGCAGTCTAGTTTTCGAGGCTAAACAGAAAAGCCTTAATTCGATTGCTGCAGCCAGTATTATGTAATCGGTCGGTGTTTTAGCATGGAGTGCAATGCACCGACAAGTTCAGACAGTCCCGCCGCTTGGCAACAGCTGTGCGACGGGCCTGCCATTTCTGCGTTCTGCATAGCGTGCCAAGCAAATGCCTTGGTGCTGCCAGCAACAGACATCGAAGAAGAAATAAGTGAACGATGGTAGTGGCGAGTGATGGCAGCTGATTTGCGTAGCGAGATCCGTGGGCTCGCAATGTTGATGACGGCACTGTCATCTTTATGGAGGGCTTGCCTGTTGGAGTTCGGCAAGAGCACGGTGAACTTCTGGCCCTGGTCGTGATAGAATCCAAAACCCTTAAACCCAAAATCCCTAAACCCTAAACCCCTAAACCCCTAAACCCTAAACCCTGAGCTTGCTTCAACGGGCAGGGCCAGACGTTCGCTCAAGAAGCCAAATTGGTCTAAGTGGTCCGGGCCTCTTGTTAGGCCAAACGCCCTAAGCCCTAAAAAACCCCATAGCCCCTAAACCCTAAACCCTAAGCCCTAAACAGCGCCCCAGCCCAAAGACAGCAAGGAGCTGGTCATCGGCGACCACAAGAAGACAGACTTCGCCTCCATGGACAAGCTCTTCGGGGCACTGGTCCAGCCTCCTACATCGCAAGAAGAAAGGAAGGGCTTTAGGGTTTTAGGGCTATTCTTGTGGGTGGCGGTTTCAGTTTTGTTGGTGGGAGTCTCTTGCATTTGCGGTCTACATGCCACATGTCCTCTTTCATTCGCTTGTGTGTATGTGTGTGCGTGCATGATCGTGCATGTGTGTGTGCGTGTGTCTGTGCTTGATATTGCCATCTTCCGTTGGCAAATATGCAGTAAGAATATGTCATACACAGTATGTGCTATGCCGATATCGTACTTACGCTTGTCAGTGTCTGGGCCAGGTCAACCGGAAGCCCTGCCTGTAACCGAACAGACCTCTTGTTTCCATAAGGGTTTAGGGTTTCATGCTGGAGAACCTTCGAAACACGGCCTTTGGGGATGACTCGTATACCCTATTTGAGGATCAGGGCGTTTGTTAACCAAGCTCTTACTCGGTGCATGGCTTCCTTGTTGGGGTCAAACTGAAACGCTTGCAATCTGCTTAGTAAGTTCGCTTTTGAGCCCCCCCCCACCCACCGGAACCCCTTAAGTCACTCAGCTCTGAAACGCCCTAAACCCTAAACCCTAAACCCCCAAAGCATGTCTAAAATCTTGTAGAACCTTGCAGACCTTTAGTGAAACCTCATAGCCTCCCCATCAAGAGCCCAGGTATCCGGACACCACCGGCAAGTCCGATAAACCCTAAATCCTAAACCCTACCTAGACCCCCCAACTCCCCTCTAATATACCCTACGGTTTAGGGTTTAGGGTTTAGGGTTTAGGGTTTAGGTTCTACAAGGGCTATTATTCAAAGGCCCTTGGGGGGGTCTTGGTAGACCCTAAACCCTAAACCATCAAGAGCCCAGGTATCCGGACACCACCGGCCGGTTCGATGATTACTCGAGCATTGCCCAGGTCTGACTTACAAGAGAAGCCGCTCTCATAGGCGGTCAGGTTTACATTGGATTTTGGTGCTTGTGCGTGTGAATAAGTAAACACACCATATATACACACACCATATATACCAAATATATATATATAAATATATATATGTATATATATATATAGATGTATACCTTAAGTTTTAGAAATTTAGGAGATTGGCGGACAAGCCCTAATTAAAAGCCCTACCGCAGCTACAGAACAGCGGTGGTACTCTCTTGTAGTACCCTTGCAGAACCCGTAATAGCTCGGGCTTTGGCGAGTGCTGGGTTCAGAGATGAAGGGAGGCTGGGCCTTCAGGGCCAGCAGACTTAGAAACTAGGACAATATGGAATTTCAGCAACCTATAGGGTACCTTATTTTGGAGTCCTTATAATAGAGATCCTTCTACTTAGGGTCCTATATCAGGGTCCCTTATTTTCTGAAACTCCCATATAAGGCTTCCACCTACCCCTGAACCCCAACACCGCATCCCCTAAGTACGAGACAGCAGGCCCTCCACAAGAATGGAGCTTACCTTACCGTCGCTGCCGATCCGCCACCTGGCATCAACTTGGAGCTCACGCTACGAATTCAAACGGTTTAGGGTTTAGGGCTCACGGTTTAGGGTTTTGGGACCCTAAACCCTAAACCCTGTTTAGGGTTTGGGGTTTAGGGTTTAGGATTTAGGGTTTAGGGTTTAGGGTTTTGAGAATTCAAATCCCTTCTGTGACAGTGCGTTGTGCCGGCTCTGCAGTCTTGTTGGGTCTTCTCAGGTAGCAAAACAGGGTTTAGGGTTTAGGGTTTAGGGTTTAGGGTTTAGGGTTTAGGGGTGCTTGCAATGGTTTTACGGCAGGATGCCACCATCAGTGCTCCAAAGGCGTATAGGGTTGCCAAGGCTAGAATATGCCACAATGGGGGCTGGAAGTAAGTCTACTTTATTATCGCGTAGAAGTATAGCATGCTATCTTACTATTTCTTACTGCTAGTCCCGATTGAAGCGGATGTTAAGAAACACTTGCTACAGACTGTATCAGCTTACCTAAGCCCTAAACCCTAAACCCTAAACCCAACAAAGGTGCGCCTTTTCAACTTAAAAAGCCCCTAAACCCTAAACCCTAAACCCCAAGCCCTAAGCCCTAGAAGCCTCTAGCTCGCAGCCAGGAAATACGGTTAACAAAAAGCAGAAAATGCGACTGCTTTAAACCCTAGAGCCTTGTCACAGAACCCTGATCCTCTCAAGCCCTAAACCCCTAAAGCCCTAAGCTTCTAAAGCCCTAAACCCCCAAACCCATTACCCTAAAACCCTAAACCTTAAACCCCTAAAGCCCTATTACCTAAACGCCTTAAACCCCAAACCCCTAAACCCCTAAACCCTAAACCCACAGCACCGAAAGAAGCGAAAGCCTCGAAAGCCTCGATCCTGGAGCCTGACTGCCATCCTTTGACCGAGGCTTTCGCTGGTGCTGGCCAAGCCTCCCAGACACTCGGATGTTGAGGGTTTAGGGGTTTAGGGGTTTAGGGTTTAGGGGTTTAGGGTTTTGGGGTTTAGGGTTTAGGGTGTTTAGGGTTTTGGGGGTTNNGTTTAGGGTTTAGGGTTTGGGTATAAAAAGAGGGGCCTTAATGATTATATTAGCATGGAGTAGGGTTTTCTGGGTATCTTTTCTATAAGGCAATCTTGGATGTCAGGTAGCACAGGGGCCTTGATATTTATACAGGGCTTCAAAGAGAATAGGGCATTATCAGGGCCTTGGGGGGGGGGGGGGGGAAGATGCGACAGCCTGAACCCTGCAGCCCTAAACCCAAAACCCTAAACCCTAAACTCTAAAGGCTGATATTCCGGGCCTAAGCC